TATTTTAAGAAGTGAAGAAAGATAGCTGCTTTTTTAAAATCTGCTGTTAATAATATATTGGGCTGTTTTATATTTATTAATCATTTCTCTTTTTGAGAACTGACTCTTCCCCCACTGGAATCGGTTTTCATTATAGATTTATAAGGCCTCTTTGTATATTAAGGACGTGAATGGTATATTTGTTCCACATGACGGTTTCAGACTTCCAGGCTTTTAAATTTGAATTCCAATGTTTAATGCAATTACACCTATAATTTAGCAATTTAATAAATACTTAGTGAGAGCACTTGTATGTGCCTGGCACTGTGCTTTGACAACCACAAAGGTGAACAAGATCTTCCATGCCCTGAAGTAATCAGGGGTGTAAGGGGGCAGACGCACAGAGAAAGGCATGCAGCGGCTGAGGCAGGGTCAGCAGAGAGCCTGAGGGTTGGGATGAATGCTAAGAAGACAGATCCTTGGGCTGAGCATAGAGAGCTGGCTATGGAGGCACATGCCTGTTAATCCCAGTATTCAGGAGGCTGAGGCAAGAGGATCTTAAATTCAAGCCCAGCCTGGGCAATTTAGCAACACTGTGAGACCCTGTCTCAAAACAAACAAACAAGCTGAGGATATAGTTGTATTACAATGCTTTGCATGTCACTGTCTACACAGTGCACCTATTTCATCTAAATAAGGGTAAAGGATGAAAGGTGGGTAAGCGGAGTGAGCTGGGGCAGTTCAGGTCCTGAGGGCAGGAGGAGATGACCACAGATGTCTGTGCAAAGGAGTGGAGACCCTGAGTCTCTGCACAGGAAGTGCTTCTGCAAGAGGAAAGGTAGCACTGGGTACAGATAAGAGTCAGGATGCAAAGCATTTACCTTTCATTCTTGTTCTTCCTAGTAGTGGGGATTGAACCCAGGGCCTTCACACTGAGCTACATCTCTGGTCCTTTGAAAAAAGTTTTGATTTTGAGACAGGGTTTCACTAATTGGTCCAGGCTGGTCTCAAACTTGCAGTTCTCCTGCCTCGGCCTCCCTAACAGCTGGGATTACAGGCATGTGTCACAGTGCCAAGCCTGCATGCATTTCTTTAGAAACTGTTTTAAAACACTCTGGCTCCTAGGGATTGGGTCCCCCCACAAATCTCAGGCGTGGGGAACCTAACCCCCAAACTCGCGTGTGAATGGTGTTTGGAGGTGGGGCCTCTGGGAAGCCATAAGGGCAAGATGAGGTCATGGGGCTGGGGGCCCATGGTGGTCCCTGGGGACTCTGTAAGGAGAGGAAGGGAGACCGGAAGTGCACCTGTGATGACCTGAACCAGGGTCCGACCCAGCAGAACCCCACTGATCAGAGGTCAGAACCAAATTCCTGGGCTTCCCAGCCTCCAGCACCATGGGCCAGAACAAACCTTCCTTCTTCATGAATCACACAGCCTCTGGTACTTTACTGTAGCAACCATAGAGGGACTGAGAGCAAACAGAGAGGAACAGAAATTCAGTCCAGACCTCAGATTTGTTATCTAAGCGGGGCTGGGAATCAGCTGACCCCTGCTCTGAGGGTCGTCTTCCCGCTCCACTGCACTGGGTTCCAGGTATGGCAAAACAAATAATGGTAAATTTTGTTACTAAACTGAATTTTTGTGAATATCATTACTTTTACTTAATGCTAGCATCCGTCTGAAATATAATTTAAGTATCTAGTAAGCTCAGCAAGTAGAGAAGCAAGTGTCCTAAAATGTTACCAGGGACTATATCTGGTAGTTGGGATTTGGAATGTATTGTTTCCATCTTTGCATTTCCCATAGCATGTGTGGACTGAATTTATTGTTTAAATATAGGAAAACCTGCCAAAAGGAAAGGCTTGCCCTTGATGCAATATCAGACTATGATCTCTGTTGGCTCCAAGGCTACCCCACTACAGCTCCAAGGGCATCACTGCTACTGTGGCTAATGTGAATGGCACCTTTGGTGTTGCGCAGTGCGCTGACTGTGCAGCTGTGCATAGCAGCCCTAGCTATCTTCTAGCATCTTCTCATTTTTAATGTTATTTTTAACAATGACTTTTCTTCTAATTATGAAAACATCACAACAGTAAAAACTGTATCCTTGCCACCCCCCCATCCCTGTGGCTCCCCTACTAGAGGCAACTATAACTACCATCTCTTTTTTCTCCTGTTATTTTCTTGCCCCCCATCTAACTTGGTGGTTAATCTAGTTTTACCATTCTGGTTTTTTCCTCCTCAGCATTATAGAATCAATATTTTTCTCATGTTATTAAAATTTTGTAGGAAGTGCAAGGACTCGAGTGGATCCCCAGTAGCAAAAATAAATAAATAAAATAAATAAAATAAATTTTTTTGTACATACCATTTGTAATGGCTGCAAAATTGTTCAAGCTACGGATATATTATCTTTAACTAATCTTCAAGATAAATTAACAAATTTTGCTCCAAAAAATAAAATCACTCAGATGAACAATTTTACTCTCTCATCTATGTCCCTATTTCAGGATATTTTTTGTGGGAAAAGAGTGGAGAAGAAAGTATTACTATCATTAAGCTTTTTAATACATGTGGTTCAAATTGCTTTTTAAAAAGCTTGTTTCAATTTGTATTCTCACCGGAGGATATGTGATTTTTCATTTTACCAAGACCTTGACAGCAAAGTAGGAACATTCATTCCAAATACTAAATCTTTATTCATTTGTTAGGTTGAAAAACAGCTACCTCAATATATTTAAAAACTTATTTTAGTTTCTCTGATTATAAAATGAGTCAAAAACTTTCCTGTAGCTTTCAATCATTTGTATTCTCCCTGCATAACAGGCCTTCCTCGTATTTTGTCTATTTTTCTTTGGGAGTGTTTTATTTTATCATGTAAACTAATACATTTTTTACATTTAAGTCGCTTTGCAGAGCTTCTGATACATGAATGAGTGTTACTCATTTCCCCCATAGGATTTCTGGCATATGTATTTCCTGTCTGACCTATCATTCCCCTATTCGGTTGATGTACAGATTATTTTGCTATTTATATGCTCAGGACCATTTTCTGTTTTCCTTTCACCGCTTTCATTCTTAGAAAGTCCTTCTCCCTCTGGAGATCAGATTCATCTCTATTTTGGTATTTTTTTTTAGTGGCGTTTCTTTCATTTGATGCGGCAGTCCCTCTGAGACGTACTTTGGCATACGATGAGCTGTGAGAATCTAAATTGATTTCTTTCCCAAAGAGCTGGGTAATTTATCCAATTGTCTTAGGAATAATCCATTCCCAGCCTCTCATTTTTGATATGTCTTTTACATCTGATCTTACTTTGATAACCAAAAAATAATAATACATACTTTTATTTTGAAGAAGAAAAGATGAGTCAGCTAAGACTTATTAATAATGACTGCTGTGTGTCAGGAACTGTTCTCAGAGCTCAGTATAATTCCTTGAGTTTTCCTCCCATCAACCTTAGTCTATAGATGTTTTACTCTCTCCTATTTTACAGATGAAGGGATGGAAGCCTAGAGGAGACACAACTGGTAACAACCTACTAGCATTTGAATCTAACAGGCTGGTTCCAGAGTTCTCCCATTTCCCCATTAGACACTGTCCTTGCTGGAAGTGAGCATCCAGCTCAAGAGGGTTGGACTCCTAGCCCTACTCTGATGATTAAGCTGTGGCTGACTTACTTTCTATCAAGGGCATCAGGCAAAGAATAGGAAAATTCATAGCTGGGGGAAAACGCAAGTGCTACATTACAGAAAGACTTTAATTTTTATCTTGGTAGTCACTAGGGAGGCCCAGGCAGCTCTGGGAAGGCAATTAAATTGTGGAGCTGGCCAAACTGTGGAGCTAGGCTGTGTCTCTGCTAAGTCAAGGGCACTGGGCTTCCTGCTCCTTGTCCCATCTGGGTGTTACTGAAGTCCCTTGCAGTCACTCTCAGTAGTAATGAGGTAAATGCACCAATGTTTAAATATAAGGATGCTCTCAGCAGTGGTACTTAGGGTTTTGTCAAAATGGAGTCCACATAGATGTCTAGGTCCTCAAACAAAGCACAGCATTACAAAACATGGAACCCTATGCAGCCATTAACCATGCCATAGGACAAGTGGTAATGAAACAGGAAAATATTCTCCATGTGTTACTGAGTAAAATTTCACAGTTTTAGGTATTGTGGACAGGGTTGTTAGTAAAAATATACCCAAATATACACGGAGTAAAGAAGACAATATATCAAAATGCTCACATTATCTCTGGTGTCAAAATGCCTATATCCAATCCTGGCTTCCTAAATTATAAGCACTGCGACCTTAGATAAGTTATACAATTTAAGTTGCTGCTTTCTTATCAATAAAATGGAAATAACATTACTATCTCATAAGATGAAGGTGAAATGAATATGTATATGAAAAGTGCTTAGAACTGGTGCCTGGCCCCTTGAAAATATTTAATAAATGTTCATGGCTATTATTATCTCATTATTATTCTTTGCAAAATTTTCTAAAATGCAGTTATGGTATTTGTAATAAGGAAAAATTAATTTGTTTTAATGAAAGTTAAGACAATCCCATTCTAGAGAATCTGAGAAGATTCTTTCCTGTCTGCTTTCTCTGCTATTAAGTGGCTCTGTTCACAGCACTGGGCTGAGGAGGACGCCAGTTCCTGCTTCTCTTTATACCTAGCTTCCTGCTCAGTGTCTCCACTTACAGGTCCCACAGGACCTCACTGTGAAAATGTCTCCAACAGAGCTCATCAAGGTCACCACAGCCTTTTGCTCTTCATACTCTTGCTAGCCAGAGAGATCCTCTTCACTGGATGTTTGGATGGTTGAATGGGTGGATGGATGAATGGTTGGGTGGATGGATGGGT